CCCCCACCCAACCCTTCCACCCCCACCCCGACCCCTAACTGCTTCCTGGCACCTGCCTCCCACACACTGAACTTCTCATTTTTGGCCCCGCCCCAGAGCCTGGGGGGCCCCACCAAATCTATCCGCCTGGCCCTCCTAGGCCCTGGGGTGCGAGGGGAATGTGGGGAGGGTCTTTCTTCTCAGTTGGGGACCACGTCAGTGAGGATTTGGGGGTTTTTTTTGCTTCCACTTCTGGGCAGCCCCCGACTGACTTTTCTGGGGGCCACCGGCCCCCGACCCACAAAAGGTTCCCCGCCCCTGCCCTCCGCAGCCAGGGCTCTGCTCTCTCCATCACGAGTGCCAGGGGCTCACACACCGGCTCGTTCACAAGCTGCTGCTGATGCCCGTGACCACTGGGCTCCGCTCCCCTGAGCCTCTCGCTGCCTCCCCCCCTAGGAGAGACCATCAAGATCGTGGTGGAGGAATACGTGCAGCATCTCAGCGGGTACTTCCTGCGCCTCAAGTTCGACCCCGAGCTGCTGTTCGACGTCCAGTTCCAGTACAGGAACCGCATTGCCGTGGAGTTCAACCAGCTCTACCACTGGCACGGGCTGATGCCGGACTCGTTCGTCATCCAGGGCAAGGAATACAGCTACCAGCAGTTTATCTACAACACCTCCATGCTCATGGACTATGGGGTGGAGGCCTTGGTGGAGTCCTTCTCCAAGCAAATAGCAGGAAAGGTACGGCACAGCAGACGGGCACCTCTCGGCCTGACGGGGGAGGGGTAATGTACATATTGCTCCGTGGTGTGTCGGTGCCAGCAGACTGCATGACTTGCACAGGGCATGGCAATGCACCGTCAACCTGTGGAACTCCTCGCCAGGGGAGGTTGTGAACACCAAGAGAAACAGGGCTCAAAAAAGAGCTGGATACATTCATGGAGGATAGGTCCAGCAATGGGTGGGGTGGTTTGGCAGAAGCTGGGAGGGAGCAAGGGGGGAGGATCACTTGTGCTGCTCATTCCCTTCGGGGAGCCTTCGGAAGACAGGACACTGGGCCGGATGGACCTTTGCTCTGGCCGCTCTTGTGTCCTCGTGGCAAGAGGCTTGGGGAAGGGGACACGTCGCGGTCGATTCTGATGTAGGATGCAAGGAGCAGGATGGCTCCTGGTGCTCCCCTGCCAGCCCCAAAGCAATGCAGCTGCCCCGGCGTCTGTCAGCAGGTGGGGCCTCATTGGCACAATCCACCCAGAGGTGGGGACAGCGCCTGGGCTCTGCCATGACACAGGTTGTGTCTGCAGCATGGGCAGCCCGTTCCCCTTCCCCCAAAGTTTTGCTGCTATTGGGGGAGGGGAGGGGCGTGAGGGTTTCTCAAAAATCAAAAAGGGGGCGCGATGTCGAAACGTTTGGGAACCGCTGTGCTAAAGGAGAGCGACCTGGCCTTGGCTTTGGGCCTCTGCTGCCATCGTGTGGCTGTTTCCTTTCCACGGCGTTTGGGGCTTCTCTCTTCCCCCTCTTCTGGGGACTCTTCTCTTCAGCACAGGGGGTGGGGTAAAAGAGTTTTACTGAGCGCATGTTTACAGCAAAGTCAAAGCCAAACACGTGGCACACGTGTAAGATAAAACGTAAGTAATCCGCGGCTCAAGGGGGGGTACAGCAGTAACAAAACACTGCACGTGGTCTAAAAGCGCTCGACGTAACCCGCCTAGTCCCGGATGCAAGCGGGGGTGTAACAAAACTGTAGCCCCAGGGGTTACGTCTGGACGTCACCCATAAAGCAGAACAGTCGTCGTCTCTTAACAGTCCATTTATCAATGGGGAGGGGTCAGTCCTTTGGACTTTATGAAAGAGAAGGAAAAGAAATTGAGCTCAGTCCACCAGGTAAGGGAAGCCAATGCTTCCCCTGAACTCGTCCCTCGTCGGCGCGTCCCTGTCATGGTCGGTCGGTGTCCTGTGGGTGCGCAGGCCCTTCTGTAGACTTGGAAGGATCAGGCAGTGGCTGGTAAATGCTGAATTCATTGAGCACAAACCAGTGGGAAAATATTTCCACGTGCAAATCTCAGGTTATAGCGACACAAAACAAGAAAAATGCGGCTTGAGAACTTTGGCGAGTTTGGTTTAAGGCTGTGGACGTGGTTTGTTCTGACACGTGGACTGTGTGCGAATGGTTCTGAAACTAACTTTCTGAATCTTGTTGTCATTCAATGATTGCTGTCTGGCGTGTTTTCCCCCCATTCTCCCATCACCCAGGAATTCCCTGCACCTGTCAACATTTACATACATAGAAATACAAGATACTTAAAAATAAGCATCTGTTCTACCTCTCAGCAGTGTAAGAAACAAAAATGGAATTCTGCCAAGCCTAGTGCTCTAGCGTCTTCCTCTGGAGCAGCTGGCATGGACCACGGTTGGGGATAGGGGCCCACACCAGCTGGACCGTTCATCTGCTCAGGTCTGGTAGCCCTGACGCAGTTCTGGTAGTTAGCATTTCTGGTGGTTTGCTTTCTCTGTGGCTGTCATAGGCTCGTAGAATCCCAGGACGGACAGAGACCCCAGGAGTCATCGAGTCCAGCCCCCTGCCCAAAGCAGGACCAGCCCTGACTCAATTGTCCCAGCCAGGGCTTGGTCAAGCCTGGCTTTAAAAATCTCTAGGGAAGGAGATTCCATCCCCTCCCTAGGGAACCCATCCCAGATGCCATATCAAGATGTGGCCTCACTAGAGGGGAATAATCGCTTCTCTGGATCTGCTGGCAATGCTCCTCCCAATGCCCCCAATATGCCATTAGCCTTCTTGGCTAGAAGGGCGCCCTGTTGACTCACATCCAGCTTCTCATCCACTCTAATCCCCAGGCCCTTTTCTGCCAAACTGCTGCTTAGCCAGTCGGTCCCCAGCCTGTCGCCGTGCTTGGGATTCTTCTGTCCCCAGGGCAGGACTCCGCACTCGTCCTGTCTTCAGTCACGTGGCACCTCCGGGATGGACACGTTGCCAACACCCTCGTGAGACGTGCACTCCGCCAGGCTCGTCAGAGCTTTCCGCAGTTCCCAGTGGGACGAGCGCTCGGTTGTAACCGAAGTTTGCTCTTCTCGCTCTCCCTGCCTTTCAGGTCGGCGGGGGCCAAAGCATCAACACCCACCTCTTGAAAGTGGCTGTTGGCGTTATTGAGGAATCGCGGCTGCTGAGGCTGCAGCCGTTTAACGAGTACCGCAAGCGCTTTTCCATGAAGCCCTACAAGTCCTTCCAGGAGTTAACAGGTGAGATTTCACCACCAACGTGCTGCTGGCGATGCGTGCCCGACTGCAGCCATCCACACAACCTAGAACTCCACGCGCCCCGCTGTCCGTAAGGGGCTGCCTCTGCCTTCCGGGTTCCCTCGGGCAGATCCTCGTGCAGCGTCAGATCACAGCACGTGGGCACACAACGTACCCAACCCGGGGCGCTATTGTAGGCTTTCAGACTGACGGATCAGTCTCCCGCCACCGCGTACTCCTCACCCACTTGGAGAGCTGCCAGGCACTGGCTACTGGAAAGAGTTGTTACCTGCCTTCCAGCAGGACACTGGGACATAAGAACAGCCAGACTGGGTCAGGCCAACAGTCCATCCAGCCCAGTGTCCTGTCTGCCCACAGTGGCCAATGCCAGGTGCCCCCTAGAGGGAATGAACAAAACAGGGAATCATCAAGTGACCCCTCTCCCGTCACCCATTCCCAGCTTCTAACAAACAGCAGCTAGGTACACCGTCCCTGCCCATCCTGGCTAGTAGCCATTGATGGACCTAACCTCCATGAACTTATCTAGCTCTTTTTTGAATCCTGTTAAAATCCTGGCTTTCACCACATCCTCTGGCAAGGAGTTCCACAGGTTGACTGTCCGCTGAATGAAGAGAAGCTTCCTTTTCTTTGTTTTAAACCTGCGACCTAGTAATTTCATTTGCTGATCCCTAGTTCTTGTGTTTTGGGCACAAGTAAATAACTTTTCCGTGTTCACTTTCTCCACACCAGTCGTGATTTTATAGGTCTCTATCCTATTCCACCACTCAAGCTCCTCTTTCCTAAGCTGAAAAGTCCCAGGCTTATTAATCTCCCTTCACATGGCAGCCGCCCCAAGCCCCTCCCTCATTTCTGGTGCCCATTTTCAGAACCTTTTCCAATGCTAAGCTATCTTTTTGGAGATGAGGAAACCATGTCTGCATGCCGTATTCCAGATGGCCCTGGGAGTCCGTCAGACCATTGAGTAGGGGCTGGGCGGGCAGGGGGGTGGATCACAGAGCTAGAGCCGCTCCCACATCCTGTGTCTTTAGTGGAACCTCCTCTCCGAGCAACCGTTCCACCTTCTGACATTCTGACTCTGTTGATGCAGGAGAAGAGGAGAAGGCAGCGGCGCTGGAAGAGCTCTATGGAGACATTAATGCCCTGGAGTTTTACCCGGGCTTGCTGCTGGAGAAGCCCCAGCCGAACTCTATGTTTGGGGAGAGCATGGTGGAGACGGGAGCCCCCTTCTCCCTGAAAGGGCTGTTCGGAAACCCCATTTGCTCCCCGGAATACTGGAAGCCCAGCACGTTCGGCGGCGCGGCTGGCTTCGAGATCGTAAAGACGGCGTCGCTCCAGAAGCTGGTGTGTCGCAACGTCAGGCGGTGTCCCTTCGTGTCCTTCCACGTGCCAGAGCCCAGCACAGAGACAGGAACCACTGGCGACCACCAAGCCAAAAATCCATCCACCGAGCTCTAGTGCCATGGCAGCTCCGGGGAGGGAGAGGACAGCCTCCCTCAGGCCCGTGCCTGATAAGACAGCAGCTGAGGTTCCTCCTTCGCTCTTGTCCTAATGATTCCTGGTGTACGACCCCGGTACAAAGCCCTTCCGAACAGAGCCAGACAGGAGGAGGACAGCATGTATCAATAGAACATGTGGCATTACTCAGACCCGGGCCTGGGAGGGGGAAAGGAGAGAGAGGCTGGTACTAGCGAAGGGAGAGTCTGAGTCATCTCCATGCTAAACAATGGTCTGTCTCCACTCACGCGGCCTGTGGATCCCCGCACGGCGCCAGCTCTGTTTTCCGGGGGACTCTCGGCCTCTCAGCTGCTTCCCGTACCCGCCTCACCCCCTTGTCTGCTATCGAGAGTCGCTTTCCTGCACGCAGACAGCCAGGCGACCGACACCCCGCAGCCGGGTGGAGACAGAGCAGTGCGCAGCGACCCTCTGGCCCCCTTGCTCATCCCTCTGGCCCCCGCAGAGTAGGCAGAGCAGCCCGACGGCTTGTGCGTTCACACCACCAACCGCCGTCCCCCAGGAAATCGCCACAATGAGGCTTTTTCTCGGGTGAGCGGGGCTCTGGTTTGGACCTGTCGCGTGCTCAGCACTTTAGGGCTCAGCCCTTTCTCCTGCACCCAGGCAAGGCCAGACTCTCCCACAGCTCGAGGGGGGTGCAGGAGGTGAGAGCAGCCCCCCGTGGGTTATCACATGGCTGGAGCACACTCCTTCCTTACAGGTCGGAGCCTGCCCGAGGCCAATCCTTATACAAACTAATCAGAGCTCCTTCCCTTCGCTGGTGCCCAGCTCAGCTGCAGTTTTCAGACCTCTGGGCAAGCTGGCTAAAGAGACCTCCTACCCCGCAGGTACAAGTCAGCCCTGGCGGATAACTGCCTGGAAGAGACGGCGAGCCAGCTTTGTGAACTGGATCCCGTTAACGGGCTGAGTGGGCGCTGACAACGATTAAATTTCGGCCTGCATCAGCCGTTGCCAGCAGCAAGTGGGAAGCGAAGAGCTTCTGAGGCCTACCCTGCTTCCTGCTTCTGCAAAAGCCTATGCAAATAAAGCGCAGATTAGCATATTGCTGTGCTTCATTTGCATAATTAACTAGGAGCCGTTTTTGTGCAAGAGCCATTCTTCCTGAAAAAATGAGGAAGAACGGCTCTTGTGCAAGAGGGGGTTTTGCGCAAAAAGGCGCTGTGTAGACAGCACCTTTTTGCGCAAAAACGGCTCCTAATTAAGAGCTAGGCTGTCGGAGATGTGCCGTGGAGAACAACAGAGTTCAAAATGGCCGCTTTTTTTTTTTTTTTTTGGCTCAGTAACTTTGCCCCCCACTTTTTTTGTTGTTGTTGCTGCTTGCTCAACAAAAAAATCCTTGGCATTCCTCATAAAAAAAATTATTGTTTGGTGTTCCTCGGTCTTAAAAAGTTTAAGAAAACCTGGTGTAGACGTAGCCGGAGAGTGTAGGAAAGCAGTTGAATTTCATGCTTCTTCAGCTCCATTGTGCAGCATCGTGTGGAGAGTAAAATACAATGGGGAAGCAGATATCACAGAGAAAGGGGCTGGGGTAAAATCTGTCAGAGCCTGGAACAGTCTGGAAAATGGAAACCTCGACCAGACACAGAACCACACTGGTGGACAGGCTGAACCTCTCTAGTCCCGAACTCTCTGGTCCAGCAACAGCCGCGGGCCGGCATGATTTTAGTTAGCTGGATGTCCACTTAACGTGGATGTGCCCGAGTTTCCCGCAGGCCTGGCTCTCAGGGTTCTGTGGTTGAACACTAATTTACCCTAAACGTCTTCGAAGAGCCCAGCAAGCAATGGAAGCGTTGGTGATGTGGCTAGACCATATCGACCTCCCGTAGTCCGGCGAATTCTCTGGTTCGGCACCGGTCAGGTCCTGAGGGTGCCGGATTAGAGAGGTTCAACCGGTACCATAGAGAGTGGTGCTTAGTGGTTGACCAGTCAGTCTCTTAATAGGCCTTTGCTAATTAGATTGGATCAGGAGCCTGCTTCCTGGCACGCGGTGAGAACTACCTCACTCTACACACAGGTCTGTTGGGCCTGGAGAGGACGGTACCACTCAGTGCAAGGGAGGGGGTCAAAATCTGGCCCTTTCAGTCTATGGGCCCATCAACTTTCCTGGGGGAAAATAGCCCAGAAAATTCTCCTCGGAGTACCCTGCTTCAGGGCTCAGGATCCCCTGTTCTACAGCACGATACAGACCTTGGACCCTGGCTTTCCTGCCCATATAGCCCCCCCTTTGCAACAGCCGCTGCTCTGCGCCTGGCTGAACTGGGAACGCAGGCTGGACTGGGGACGAGGGCCTCATCTCCAGCTGCACGTCTGCAGGGGGAAGCTATCTGAGCGGTGCAGTTGAGTGGAAGGTCCAAACGCACCGCGGGGCCTCTGTGCACCTTGTGACAGAGCGGTCGGGGGCGATCCAATAAAAGAGAAAGTGATTTCACCTCCCAGCCGATGGGGAATAATTAGCGCGGTCTCAGTTCTCCCAGAAAAGAGTTTCGGGCATCCAGACCTAAGGGCTGAAAAGAACATGATGGGGGGGGGAAATCACTGGGGCTCTGGTGATGCTCTGTAGCAGTGTTTCTCAACCAGTGGTATGAGAACCCTTGGGGTACTCGAGAAGCCTGGGGGGTACGTCAGCACAACTGAAATTTGGAGAAAACCGAATTTTGGGTTTAAGTTTTACAACATTTTATTATTTTTGTACTTTCTACACCCACAAATTTCATCGCCCGCCCGGCTACGATTAAGTTGTTCACACAAATGTGTTGCAATGGTAGAAAAAAATGTTGTTGCCCAAAAATGATAGGTACTAGGGGTACTTCTAGAGATTTATTTTTTTAAAGGGGTACTTTATAAAAAAAAGGTTGAGACACACTGCTCTGTGGCATCACACCGGCATGGCCAGCTGGCCCTCTCAGAAGGCAGACATGCAAATCTCTGTGGCTGTAAGAGAAGCCACATCTCAGCACCCTCTATTGCCCTACACCACCTTCCAGCTCTGTGCTGCCTCTTGGCGTGTGGTCAGTAGCCCCGCTCCCAGCCCATCCAGGTCTCCCCGGCTCCTGGATGAAACATTCATCTCCCCCAGTGCATACAGCCCCCTATCTCCCGTGCAGCCTGCCCACAGCACAGCTGTTGTGTGTGCTGACAGTGAACCGACCGTAGGCCGACACTCCACGCACGACACTGCCAGTTTATTTTAAAGCCCCCGAAGCCGACGACACCACGCTTACATTCTCACCCACCATCTGTCCCGGGGTTAACCTGGCCCCTTCCCCCTGCAGGGCTGCATCCGCACCACAGAACAAGATCTCCAGTCAGTCACAATTTCACACGTCTCCACACCAGACGCGTGCCCCCTGGGGGGTTCAATGCACGTCGTCCATTCCATCATACGCATCAGCCACACGGCACGGCAGGGTTTGCCTCGGCTTTCGCCGTGTCCTTCCCTGGGGGCTCCCCGGACACTTTGCAGCCTGCCCTGTAACACAAGAGGCTCGGAACAGCCCTCAATTCATACCGCAAGCCCAGAGCGTCCCACTCCCTCCTTGTGACTCTACCGACACACGGCGCCACGGCACACAAAGCCCAGCCCTGCCTCCCAGAGTCACCACCGCTCCGGAGTCAATGGCTTGGGAGATCTCTTGCTATTTCCGGTGGACAATCCGTGGCTGGGGGGTTTGGAGGGACGTAGCACAGAGGAAAGCGATTCCAAAGCTAGTGACAGGAGCAGATGAGGAAACATCGGGAGAGCCAAAGACACAAGAGCCATGGTAAGCAAGACCTGGTCGAACAAACAGCCATATACACAGTAGAATATTCCGACCCACTTCTGAGCCCCAAACATCCGGGCAGGCAGCTGCTCCTGGCCCTATTCTGCCAGAGAAGAGCTGTTTTGTTCACTTCGAGACTTCACTGGGTCCGTTTTAATCCAGTCACAAAAAACTCCCGGGCCCTGTGAAAGTCAGAAGGGTGCACAAGAGGACACAAGAGACGGAATTCCCTGTCACAGCAGCCGGCTTAGACACTGTGCAGTAAATGCAGCCTCCTCTGGGATGGAACAAAGCAATAGTTTCACAGCACACAGCAACCCCACACAACAGCTTGGAACAGGACATGAGGCATAAACTGCAGTGGGAAGTTAGGAGCGCAGAAAATGACCCCAGGTGGAATTTGGTCAGGACAGCCCTGGCTTTGCTCTTTAATGACCGGTCATACCCATACCGCGAGGTTCAAATGCCCCCTCTGGCCTGGCAGTCGACCTGGCCCCCTCTGGCTCAGTGCACTGGTACACACAAACCCAAAGGAACAGGTAATTTGTCCACCCAATGATCCATTTCAGGCAGAGCCCTGGCACGCTGCTGCAGCCCCCACTCTGGGTTTCCAAGGCTGCCCAGCCAGTCACCTGCCCTCCGCCGAGCACCGGCAATCCGAAATACGGCCACGGATGCAGTGGCCACGGCGCTCACATACTGGGGCTGCCCGGCGATGCCGGCGGCTGGGACGCTGCCTCTGGGCGCGGTGAATCGGCGACGTTCCGAGCGGCTGCCGGGGCTGAGCACATCTCTGGGCAGAGGTGGATTTCCACTGTAACAGACATCCTGGCTGTCCCAGAGCGGGACTGAGCTCCAGGAGGGGAGCCTTCCACCAGGCCCGCTGCAGGAACTTGGCCTTGATTCCTGCCGGCCTCCCCGCCGATGCTCCGCAGCAGCGGCTCAAGCCCGTGGAAACACAGCGCGGTGCCGAGGCGCTGGAGAGCCGGAGAGGCGGTGGAGCACATGGCAGGGGCCCTTGCGCCAGACTCCCTGGGCCTGGCACTGCTGCACTGCGGGGGCACCGAAGAGGGTGCGGTGTTGAGAGGGTGTGGGTGTCCCTCCTGATGTGCAGGCTCATGCTGCAGGGACAGCGGGGCATCCTGGAAGGCAGCAACAGGCGCGTCACAAGGCGCAGAGAACAAGACGAGAGCTGGGCTCCCTTCCGGCAATTCCCAAACAATGTGAGAATTGTTCTGCGGGGGACACGGGACGCAGCCCTGAGCCCAGAGGGCACAGTGAGGGGCAGGGGACATCCGCCAGCTTGAGACACAGACGAGAGAGACGGGATGGGTCAGAAGCTTATCCACGCAGTAAATATGCCATATTAAAGATACTGCATCAGACTCCTGGCTGCTGAGAGCAGCCTCGCTTCACGGACGTCAAAGGAGCCGCCCCAGCCACCTCTGCCGCCAGTCATGAGCCACAGGGATTCAACACGGCATCACCCGACTGGCAAATGCGCGGCTGACAAGCAGCACTTGAGCAGAACTGGGGTCGCTGACCAGACCAGGAAGGTCTATTGCAAAGAGGCTGGGAGAGAGGGCAGTTCACAGGCAGGGTTGTGAGAAAGTCTCAGAGGAGCAGGATTGTGAATCTGTAACTTTAAAAGCAGCGAGGAGTCCTGTAGCGCCTTAGAGACTGACACAAATAGACAGAGTATCATGAGCTGCAAAACCCACTTCCTCTGGGGTGGAAAAATACAGGAACCTGGACTATATAACAGAAAAAGAAGGGAGAGCGGGGGGAAAAAGTCCCTGTCGGTTGCAGTGCCAGAGGTAATGAGGCTAATTGAGTAGGTTGGAAGTGTCCCATAAGCGAAGTATGGGATACGTCCAGCCCACTCAATTAGCCTCATTAGCACTGGCACTGCAATTGACAGGGATTTTTTAAATCTCTCCCTTCTTTTTCTAAAAAAGCCCCCAAAAACGAAAACAAAAATGAGTTGTTCCTTAGAGACTAACAAGCATATAGACAGACAGAGGTGGTGTATAGGGATAGAGAGAGCGAGAGGGGGGAGGTGCATGGGGAAAGAGAGAGGGGGGGGAGGTGCATGGAGAAAGAGAGAGATAAAGGGGATGTATGGGGATAGATAGATAGATAGATAGATAGATAGATAGATAGATAGATAGATAGATAGATAGATAGATAGATAGATAGATAGATAGATAGATAATCATGAGCTTTCATGGGCAAAACCCACTTCCTGAGATGAGCAGAGTGGAGAAAAAAAGGGAGAACCTAAACTCCGGGTTCCTGTTCTTTTCCAGTGCACCTGAAGAAGTGGGTTTTGCCCACAAAATCGATTTTTGTTGGTCTCTAAGGTGCCCCAGGACCACACGCCATATTGTGAGTGCCTGGGTTGGAGACAGAGGCAGGGATCGCGGTGCAGTGCTGCTGGGTGGGGGCTCAGAAAGCTTTAAGGAGGGGGAACAGCCACCTTACCGCTGCCCTGGCCTGTGCTGTCTGCAGAGTCTCATTAGCAGCAACATCTTCGGGTTTCTCTCGGCGCCCAGCCGTCTCTGCAGGAGGGGTGGGGTCGGCGTGTGGCAGGCTGGGGGAAGAGCTGGTTGGGGCCCGAGTCTGCTCCACGGTGTCAACAGCACATTCGACTTCGAAAGCCCTGGGGGTCAGAGAGGTGTCAGGCATGGGGGGCAGCGGGCTGGTGTTTTCGGTGAAAGCCCGTCTCAGCAATTCACCCGGTTCTCAGCCTTTCGATCCAGGTAGCAGAGCTCACCACCTGCCAATCAACCCCATCTCTCCCTGCCCCCACTGAAATATGTTGCGTGAGGCGCCGCAGAGATTCAACTGCAGAGTAAAACGAACGTAGGAAAATCTCGTCCCTCCGTTCTGAGCGGGCCCCTCCCCACACGAGCCCGAAGCAGCTGGCACGGAACGTTCCGTGGCGCCTGAGCACCGGCCTTTTGCTGCGAGGACACGGAACCGGACGCCACGCCCAGCCTCGTCGCTTCACAAGCCCGTTGCGTTTGCGGCAGGGCAAACTCGCCTGTTCTCGTGGGCCATGTCCACTTCCAAGTAACGTCTCCTTCGCCGAGATTCAGAGGGGCTTTGAGGAGCTGCGGGAAGAAGCAAGGGTGCTGATTCAGCCACGTGGCAAGGTGCAAAGGCAGAGCCAGCTGGGAGGGACAGTGCATCAGTCCTAACAGGCCAGCGACTACTCCCGGGACTGCAATGAGCACCGCAAAACACCCTGCACCAGCACCTCTGAGCGCTGGAGAGACGTGGTCTGAAGGGTTCTCTCAGTCCCTCAGGAGACCCAGACTCTGCACACGTCTCCTGTGATCACGGAGAGGAGAAACGCGGAATCAGGGTGTCAGTGGCTTTAAGGAAGTCCCTTCCCGCCCCTTGACACACGGCTCTTATTCTGGTGTCTCTCCGCCTGGGGCGTTGCCCCCTTGGCAGGCGGAGCGCGGGGGCAGGCTGCATACTGGCTGTGCACGCCCACATCTGTCACCAGCGTTCAGAGCTAAGACCTGGCTCCAAAGGTCCTGAAGGATCAGGGGTTGGTTCTGGCCCATGGCAGAGATGAGCCAGCTAAGACATACAGATCAAGAACTGAACATCCCCGGGGGCTGCGGCTGCTCAGCTCCGGGGCCCTGCGATGGGCCCCATCTCCACTTTGGATCCACCCATGGACAGGCACCCCCCCCCTGCCACAAACCCTAACTCTCCCCCTTCCCCTCCTCCTAAACCCACACCCCACTTGAGCTCTCACTGGCCCTAGTCACACCTGCCCCTGCCTCTGAACTAGGGATGTAAAATCTCGTGTAAAGTGTTACTGGGTTACTGATTAACCGGCCTGCCCAGTCGCACCACAGGTGGGGGGGCTGCTCCGGTACCGGGTCAGACAGTGCTTACTGGTTAACCCTTCACATCCATAACCTGAACCTGCTGTATCCAGGCGGCCAGGGCAACCAACGCCAGAGTGACGTCCCAAAGCACCAGCCGGAGTGGGAGCAGGACAGCTACCCCCGGAGTCAGCAACGCTGCTCCGATCCCTCCGGTCTGCGGGGTCGGCCTACCCTGGAGAACGTGCTGCCTTTCGGGTACCAGGGCCGAAATACTCACAGGTACTCTGGCCTTTGGTGGCCTCTCTCTTCTGGCGGAACGAATACACCCCCATGGCAATGAGTATTAGAGCCAGAGACACAGAGACGCCCACGACCACCGGGATGTCTTCCTTCTCCAGGACAGGCAGCCAGTCGGAAGCGGGGGGAGATTTCTGCCTGCAAAGGGACAGCGGTTTGGCCCAGGGCCACAAAGGCATGGGGGCCCCTGGCTCGCACTGTGGGGCTGGGCCGTAGATCGGCACAATGACGTGGAAGAGCCAGGAGCAGCTGACCTCGGTGTGTTACCTGGCTGTCGTGAGTGGAGAGCTGGTGGCATTGCCCTGGTCCCCCGGCGTGGACAATCGCACCCCGCTACCATTCCCGGAGGACACAGAATGCCTTCTGCTCCCGTTGCGAGCTGCCATTCCCTTGTCCCAGGTCCCTGAGGGATCCTCGGTCGCTCCATGTGGCCACGGGGAGGCGCTTCCGGCTGGGGCTGCAGCACCACTTCCTTGACCATCCTCTTCGGAGGGCAATGGCAGGGCAGAAACCTCTCCTGTGGGCACAGCCCTCCTCGGGGTGGAGGAACTGAACCCTGGGGACAGAGGGAAGCGCTACCCTGATGCTAGAGGCCTGGCAGGATGGTTGGGGAAACACCAGCCAGAACCTTTGATGGATGGGGAGGGCGGTGCAGAGAGAGGGTCTGTTCCGGAGCGGCCCCTGGGGGGGAACTGTCTCCAGGGAGCCAACAGGGGCCCTGAGCCCCCCCGTCAGGGTGGATGGGGGGCAATAACCTGCAGCGTGAGACCGCCTGACTGGCCAGGGCTGAGGGAGCCCCTGGGGGGGACATGTGAGCTGCAAAGGGGCGGGG